GGCCCTCGACATTACACACTGTAACAACAGTTTCAATACCCTCGCCATTACACCATGTAACAACTGAGTCAATACCCTCGCAATCACACACTGTAACACCAGAGTCAATACCCTCACCATTTCACCTTGTAACAACAGAGTCAATGCCCTCGACATAACACACTGTAACAACAGAGTCAATGCCCTCGACATTACACCCTGTAACAATAAAGTCAATGCCCTCACCATTCCACCCTGTCGATGCCCTCGCCATTACACCCTGTAACAACAGAGTCAATGCCCTCGACATAAAACACTGTAACAACAGAGTCAATGCCCTCGCCATTAAACCCTTTCAATGCCCTCACCATTCCACACTGTCAATGCCCTCGCCATTAAATCCTGTAACAAGAGAGTCAATGCCCTCGCCATTACACCCTGTCAATGCCCTCACCATTCCACCCTGTCAATGCCCGCGACATTACACCCTTTAACAACAAAGTCAATGCCCTCGACATTACACCTTGTAACAATAGAGTCAATGCCCTCACCATTACACCCTATAACAACAGAGTCAATGCCCTCACCATTACNGTCAATGCCCTCACCATTCCACCCTGTCGATGCCCTCGCCATTACACCCTGTAACAACAGAGTCAATGCCCTCGACATAAAACACTGTAACAACAGAGTCAATGCCCTCGCCATTAAACCCTTTCAATGCCCTCGCCATTAAATCCTGTAACAAGAGAGTCAATGCCCTCGCCATTACACCCTGTCAATGCTCTCGCCATTACACCCTGTCAATGCCCTCACCATTCCACCCTGTCAATGCCCGCGACATTACACCCTTTAACAACAAAGTCAATGCCCTCGACATTACACCTTGTAACAATAGAGTCAATGCCCTCACCATTACACCCTATAACAACAGAGTCAATGCCCTCGCCATGGCCTAGAAATGACGTCAAAGTACTACTTACATTCTTTTGAAATTCATTCTATAAGGGGTTAGGTATAAACAAGTTTGTTTCCTCAAGTC